CACACACACACACACACACACACACACACACACACACACACATATATGTTTCCTAATTTGGACTTATAAGCTATCAGTGGCTGTTTTATGACAACACTCACTCATAATAGGCAAGTAAGTAGGTATTTTCATATGATCAAAGAATTAGTTCCATAGAAAAGAAGAAAGCAATTTTGGAACAGATTTGCTTTCTCTGCTAGTTTGACTACATGGAGCCCCAGAGACTGGTATCCAAGCTGACTACTACTGTTCAGAGAGGAACTGGGTGAAAAGGTTCTGAGAATTATTGATGCTAGTGAGTGATCTATCTAATGACTTTCCTTCATAGTTAAATAGAAGTGGTAAAATGGGCAGTTTCTGGTGGTTGGTTTTTCTGAGCCAAAGGAAAACTAGGTACTTCCGGTCTGTTTGGAGTGTCTGATGTAAAAGGTGTGACTAATAGAAAAGTGAATTCTTCACATTTCCTTTGACATCGTTCTCTTACCCACATTTCCAAATCTGATTGAGTCATGCGGGTATGGGATGCAATCTTGACTTGAAAAGAGGTGAGGAGGGCCTGTTGGCAAAAGCAGTGATGAAGAGAGAGACAGAGACAGAGGGGGGGGGGAGAAAGAGAAGGAGGGAGAGAGAGAAAGAGAGAGGCTAGTTCAGGCCTGTCTTTTTTCAAGAAAGGCTCTTAAATACATACGAACTAATCTGAAGTTGAGGGTTACTTATCTTAGTGTCCAGTTTGTTGGGATGAAATGAAAAGCTAATCATTTAATAGAAAGAACACTGCTCTTCCATCCTCTCCCCTCCCTTCAGTGCCTCTGGGATTTCTCCCTTGGTCTTTTCTGTCTTTACTGTCATTCACTACTGATTTCTTTTGTGTCTTTCTGAAGTTTCCAGCTGGAAGATGATGAGCTTTCGGGGACTCTGTTCAATTGGTCTGCATATATTTCTGGTGCCTACACAGGCCTAACACTTAGTAATATTTTTAAGGAGGTGGTGCAAACTACCAGGTTTGGGCCTTCTCTTTTTTTTTTTTTTTGCCAAACTTCTATTTATGCATTGGCTTTTGGTTCAATTATGTTCCCCCTTTCCCTCGAAGCTCAACCATTCAAACTTCATCACCCAAGTGATTTTGATTTTATATAAACACAAATGCTCTTTAGTGCTCTAAGTAATCCTATACATCTTGAACCAATATACTAGATATAAGAGGAGAGTGAAAATTAAGACATGAAAATGTATACAAGATCCTAAGCTACTGGAATATTTGCAAATTTTCTTAGGAAAAAGGTAATTTTGAGAAATGCAGCACTTAGTTTTTATCTGGCTGCTCCATTTGGTAGCAACAGGGTGTGGTATACAGAGGAGCTTCGTGCATGGAAGCCACCTGCGCTGTGAAATACAGGGCCAGCAGCCGCTGAGTTGGCACTGGGCAAGTTGACCAGCCTGCCTGCTGAGTGTGTGGTTCTCCCACCCACTTCTCCCTGGCTCCTGAAGGTTAAGGTGTCCTGCTTTCAAACCTACCTGGAGGATATCTTGTGCGCTGAATGGTGGGGCTGGGGGTCTCTCCAGCAGAGGCTGAGAGTGTAGGAGGAGGAGACGTCCCGCGAGGCGAGTTGGTGCTGCCAGGCTCTGCAGAGGGTCCAGGCTCAGGGCCCGGGCTTGCCGGGCTGCGTTCTCCCGCAGTGGGTTCTGCAGGCATCGAGAAGGAGAAAACACACATGGGCGGTGAGACCAGGCTGGGTCGCTGATCCCTTTTGCTGGGCAAATGGAGAGTGCGTGTGGGTGGGTGGGTGGGGAGGACGGTACGGGAGCCGGTTGAAAAGGGTTTAAAATTATTATGATAATTATTGCAAAGGATACTCTTAAGGTGAAGGAAAGGTGCTTAAGGGGTCCCAGAATCCCAGGGCAGGAAGCGTCACATTGTCTTGGGGAAAGCAGAAGGAAGGCTGAGCCCACTGCTCCGAGGCTTTGTGGCACGCGATCTGAGAAAACCCCCGCAGCCTGTCGTCGCCCGCAAATTAATCTCTGCCCCCCATGATTAGTTCCGAGCCCTCAAAATCCGGGGGGGAACCCCAACCAAATAAAAGTGAACACTTGAGGGACCCATTTCAGCCGGAATTTGGGAGTCCGTGGGTGTGCACGAGCGGAACATAGGCTATTTTCCAACTCTACCCCTCACCCCACCCCTCGAATACGAATTTTACACGTTGCATAGGAAATGCATCAGGGCTGGAACGAATGCGTGAATGCCTCTAGGAATTAAGAAAGTCCGCGCTTTTCATTCTAAATGCTAATGGAGCTTCACTTCTATTAGCCGCGAGTTTCAGGGGCCAAGGGTCAAACAAACAAAAGGGCACAAGTGGAAAGAAGGCCAGCCAGCAGCCGCGCTGGAACCGGCGCGGAGGCAGCCGGCGCGTCCCCGACTGGTGGGGCTGAGGAAGGTTCCCTGCCCTCGGCAGGCGGGGTCCTCCAGGGTGGGGCGGCTTTGAGGCTACCGGGCACCGGTGGCTTTGAAGGGGCGCATCCCGGGGGGGTCGCCGGGAGCAGCTCGCCCAGCCAGGGTCTCAGCACACAGCCCTAACGAAACTTTGCAGCTGAAAACGCTGCTGGGCTGGCCAGGGGAAAGGATCTGATTGCCCCAAAGAATGGCCTATGGCGCCCCCTTTGCTCCGGGTGGGCACAGTTCGAAGGGGAGGAACTGGATGGAAGAAATCATAATAGCAATAATAAAAAATCCCAAAGCCAACAACAAAACCTCTCCAAGGCGCTGGAGAGCAGGTCATGTAAGTTTCCTCTCCTGTGACTCCGGTGTCTGGCTCTGGCTTGTAGTAAAAGAAAAAAAAAAAAAGAGGCTCCCAGCTACCAGGTCCTGGGAACCCTCCACCACTAGGAAATTGGGGGATTCCCTTGTCACCCTCCTCCCCTCCGTCCCCCAACCCAAGCTGCTCCCACAGAAAACTGTAGCGCTGGCCCAAGTAGATCTTCCCACCGCAAGAACATAGACTCATCTCCTCGCATCTTCAAAAGTGGGGGGTCTTCCAGCCATCGTCCTCACCCCCCTCCCACTGTGGGTGTCTGCAGCCCTGCCTCTCCCGAGGCACCTTACAAGCAGAGTCTTTTTCTAAGGTGAGGCTTCTTATGAACTCCCGTGGGCGCGGGTCTCGTGTCCCCACGGAAGGGGTTTCTGTCCAGAAACCCAGCGTTTTCCGGGGATCTCTCTTCCTACCGCCCCAACCGAGCGCCCCATCTCTCTCTCTCTCTTTCTCTCTCTCTCCCCCCCCCCCCCCCCACCTCACCTCTCCCCCTTCCACCCCTCCCCAAATCGCCGGTTACCTAGGCAAAGGCTCTGCGCCTGGAAACACGTTCTGCTGCTGCGGTTCGCGGCCGCCGGGGTCCGGGGCACAGAGCCTTGGGGTTGTAAATTAGGAAGAAATAACTACCTCTGTCAAAGCCCCTTTCTTTCTCGTGGGCAGACGAAAGGAACACCCCCGTGTTCCCCTCCCGGTGGTGAAGTGTGTGGAGGAAACCGTGAAACACACCATTGTGACCCGGGCTCCGGCGCGGAGTTTCCATCCGTGATGAGTGGGGGCGGAGGTTGGGCGGGGGCAAGAGGCATGGAGCAGACGCGGACAGCCCGGGAGAAGGCAGATTCGCAGAAAGACCTCGGGAGACTAGACAAACCGCGGGGAGAATTTCTGTGAGCGCGCGCGCAGGGTCCCGGGGAAAGAGGTGCGGGATTTGCTTGGGAGAAGCGAGGCCCGGGTGGGATGCGGGTGGGGGTTGGGGGGAGTCTTTGAGAGTCACGTTACAGCGCATCGTGTTCCGCTACAATAACTCGAATAAAGTACTTTCATTCATTGTGCCCACGATCCGCGTTGGGCAGCTATTCTATTTCCCCCATCCAGTCCGGTTCTATTTAAAAAACAAAAACAAAACACTTCTCAGTGGTGGGGAGGGGAGATCTAGGATTGGGTTCGCGCTGGAAGGACTGCCCCGCACCTCTCTTCCTCCCTGCATCCCCCCTCCCACCCCCCCAAATCCTGCGATAGCAGCTGGTAGAGATTTCCAATCACGCAACTCCTGGCCAGCAATTCTTAGGTAATCTAGGGGGGCATCAACACAAGGCAACCTCCAAGAACGTTCTTGGAAATCAAGGGGCCGAGAGCTTCCTCCCTCCGACGGCCCGAAGATTCCAACAGGTTTGAGAGGTGCCTTTCTTTGGAAGCCAGTCTAGGCAGGCAGGCTGCGCTCGGCAGGCCCGCTCTCCTCTCGCCACCGAGAACTTTCATTTCTACGGTAGAGTTAAGGAAAAACACGCCGGGCAAACTTCCTCCAAAAGCGCGAATTCTATCCGTGAGAAGTAAACTCTGTCCTTCCCACACCGTAACACCAAGCCCTCCGCAGGAGAAGGGACACCGTCCCCACGCGTGCCGGGGCGCGCGAGTCAGCAATTACAACCCGATTACCTCCAAAGAGACAAGTGTTAAACCGGCCGGGCGGCGACGCCAGGCAGACGTGCCTCGCGGAGCCCCAGGCTCATTTCAATACAACAAGCCACATTCCTACAATTAGGACCTCTTTCCCGAGATCTCCCGGGCTTCTCTGTAAACTCTAGCCACTGCTGTCCAAGACCTCTCCTCCCCCTCCTCCCCAAGCCTCCCCCCTCCTCCAGCCCACCCCACAGTCTCAAGCTTTCTTCCTGACAACCAGTTCCCTTCCACCATTCAGGTACATTGCACTCGGACCCACCAAAGCCCCTACTTCCAATCCTACTTAAAACGCAGGAAAATTACAGCCGTTCATCACCCCGGCTTGCAACTCCCTGCCGCCGCCGCCGCCGCCGCCGCCGAGAGCATCATTACCATGACAACTAGAGCCGAAATACCCTGAATTACATCGCTGGAACTGCTTCAGCGCAAATCCCCGTCCTCCTCTTTGTTAGAGGTTTTTTCGCCTCTACGGGGGTGGGGAGAGGAATCCCACAAGCTCCAGAGTCCCCGAAGGCCCCACTCACCGGGGAAAAGTTTCCCATCAGAGCCCACCACCGATCGCTTTGGCAAAGCAAAGCTAAATAAAGCGGGAATAAGATGGGGGGGGGCGCGTGCGTGTGTGCGCGAGTGTGTATGTGTGCGTGTGTGCGTGCGTGTGTGTGTGTGTGTGTGTGTGTGGTGGACCCCCACACTCAAAAGTTATCCATTTCGGGAGCGACGCTTCCCAGCGCGCCAACTTTCAAGCAAGTCCCCCCCGCCCCTCCTCTCATCCCGGCCTTTAAAAAAATAAAGCTGGACTCATCCCATACGTACTTGAGTGCTGTGGCGGTTCCGTCTTTAGAGCGAGTTTCTAGAGAGCTGCCTCGAAATCTGCACTGGGAGGCCAGGTGGTGGTGGTGGTGGTGTGTGTAGGGGGGGTGTCCGGTCACAGCTGCTGTCCCGGGAGGATTGCGGTGTACAAGCCCAGCGGCTCCCAGGAGCGGTGGGCGACTGGCGGGGAGATGCTGCGGTCCCGACTCATGGGAGAGCGCCGCCGAGAGGTTCCGCCGGCCGTCCGGTCTCCGGTGGCGACCCAGGGAGGGGTGGGCGGTTAGGCGGCCGCCGCGCTTCCCACCTCCACGGCCGCTGTCTGCGCTGTCAGCGTCTCAAAGTGAGCCAGGAGGGGCCGTCCGGCTGCGGCGCGGCACTAGCACCGGCGAGAGGGGTGTGAGCGCGCGCGAGAGAAAGAGTGGAGTGTGTGTGCGCCGAGCGTGTGTGTGTGTAGTGTGTGTGCGTGTGTGTGCGAGTGAGGGAGCAGCGGGTGTGTGAGCGTGTCTGTGTATGGGGAGCGGAGGAGGAGCAGGAGCTGGAGGGGTGGGGGGCGGGAGGCAGGAGACTCCGCTCTCCCGGCTGCGCGTTCGCCTGCTCTCCCGGCACGTCATTTATGCCACAGGAGCCCTAGCGGCCTCTCCATAGAGTGCCTGGAATGCGATACGTCAATGTGACGCCATGGGACGCTACGTCACCCTCCTCCTCCCTCCCCTGGCCCAGCCGGTTCCGCGTGTGCGAGGGAGGGTGTCTGAGTGTGTGTTTGTGCTTATGTGTGTGTGTGTGTGCGCGCGCGCCCGCGCGTTTTCCCCGGACCGCACAATGGAAAGTGAGCGGTAGTTGCCCCATCCAGCCCGGGGGTGGGGTGGGGTGGGGAGGTGGGGTGGGAGGGCTGGCTGCGCTCGGCGCGGCCCGCCCCTTCGCGGTGGTGCCGCTGCCCGCTAGGGCGTGCGTTTTCGGGAGAGTGCTGGAGCCCGCCCCGCGGGTCAGGCGGGACCGCCCAGCTGTCAGGCCGGGGTGGTGGTGGTAGGGGAGGGGGAACTAGAGTTGGGACCAGTGCTGCTGGCGCGTTCTCCGGGCTGCCCCGAGGCACCGAGCCCGGGGGGTCAGGGGGGTAAGGGAAAGCTCCGCCAGCCAGCTTCTCCGAGTGACCTGGCATCCGAGGGCTGAAAGGAGTCTGGCACCCACCACCAGCCCGAAGACTCCTCGAGGTGCAGCTGCGCTTTCCTCGTGGAAAAGGTTCTAAAACTGTATACGTCTTTCTGGCCCTCGGTGCCTAGGCTGGGCGCACCGGTTCGCCCCGGGATGCTAATGGCCGGAGGGATACGGATTTTTATTTTATTTGAATTTCATGGTGTGAGTCTCCTAACTGGACACATTGTAATCCGACGAAGTGCACATCTCTCATCCACCTGCACCCTCCCCCAGAAACTACTTAATGTGCATAACACACACACACACACACACACACGTGTTGAACAGCGGAGTGTGGCTGTTGTAGATCCTTCCTCCTCCCCAGCGCCGGGTCAGAAATGCAACTCGCACCTCGCACTTTCACTTTTTTTTTTTTTTTGATGGTGGCAGATGCTTCCCCTTCCATTGCTCAAAAGAAACATCTCAAGAATCAATCAACAGGATTTATTAGTCTGTCTCTCCCTGGGGCACCGCCTCTGGTCTCCTGGGACTCATTTGTTGGGAGATGGTGTGGCCAAAGCCTGGGCTGGGGGCGACTATATGAGAGAGAGAAAAAAATCTTCCTGGAAATGATGAATTTCAGTGTGAGTTTCTTGCTGAAAACAAAACAAACATGTCACCCTTTAACGCTTCCTAATTGCGAAGGCTGCTGTCCCTTTTAGAAATGGGTTTCTGAGAAAATATTTCGAGTGCAACAATGGACAAGACAGAGCCCTGGGCGGTCCCGCTTGACTCAGATGGGACATTTTTATTTCTTTGACCCGTCCGGGTCTTTTGCGGGTGGGGATGGCCGAGTTGAAGGGGAAAGATCCGCTGGTCCGCACCACTTGTTTCAGAGTCGAAGGAGCTTCCAGCCAGGACCAGAAACTTGAAAGCAACATAGATGGCTGCGTGTGTCTCTCGCTCTTCGCCTCCACCTCCACTCCAGGCAGGCTGCCGGTGTGGAGACCTCTGTGGGAGGATGCTCCGAAAGTTGACCTAGCGCCGAGGAACCGAGCCCCGGCGCCCCGGCGCGTTCCTCTCCAGTCTCCGAAGGCAGGAGGGCGCTGCTACATTGTATCCATTCAAACGCTGGAAGGGGAGGGGGGGCGGTGGTGAGCAGGACCTGGAGCCGCGCGGCGCTGACGCACGCGAGGCGCGTGATTGACGCAGGCGATGTTACTAAATTCGGCGCTTGGCCTGGCCCCGCCGCCGGCGCGCGCGGCAGATAGCGGAGTAGGCTCCCCTCGGTCACCCCCGCCCCGCTCCATTCAGCGCCGCGCGGGGCGGGGCGGGGCGGGGCTGGAGGAGGACGGGCGGCACGGGAGGGGCGGGGCGCGCGGAGTGCGCGCGTCTGTGCGCGCGCGCGCGCGCTCGGTCTCGCCGAGATCCGGCAGAACCAAATATAGTCCGGGCCTGGCTATTTTTAGCGGGAGGCCTCGGGCGCGAGCGCGCCGCGCGCGTCAAGGGGTGTGTATGGTGGTGGTGGTGTGGGGGGGGGGCTCTCGACCCCGCCCCGAGTGCGGACGGTTTCGGGGGTGGGAGCGGTGGAGTCGCCATCTTGGACTCGGCTCGACCCCCCCTCCCTCCTTCCCTCCCTCCCACTCCCCCCCTCCTCCGCCCCCCCTGTCTGGTGACCGGTGATGTCGGCGCCGGGGGTTGGGGTGAGTGGGTTGTGAGCCGTGGGGCGCGCGGGCCGGGCGGAGGGGAACCGGGCGGGGTGGGGATGCGGAGTCTGCC